TTTGTTGGTCATGGAGCTTGAACTCTGGGCTTGGTTGCTGTCCCTCAGCTCTTCAGCTCAAGGTGAGCACTCTACTACTTGAGCCACAGCGCCACTTCCGGTTCTCTAGTGATTTATTAGAGATAAGAGTCCCAGGGACTTTCCTGCCCGGACTGGCTTTGAACCATGATCCTCAGATCTCAGCCTCCTGAGTAGCTAGGATTACAGGGGTGAGCCACCAGCGCCCAGGACTGGAGATTTATATATATGTACAGCACTGGAATTTTTTTTTTTTTTGTCGGCTGTGGGGCCTGAACTCTGGGCCTGGGTGCTGTCCCTCAGCTCTTCAGCTCAAGGCGAGCGCTCTACTACTTGAGCTACAGCACCACTTCCGGTTTTCTGGTGGTTTATCTCACGGTCTCTCCTGCCCGGGCTGGCTTTGAACCGCGATCCTAAGATCTCAGCCTCCTGAGTAGCTAGAATTACAGGCGTGAGCCACCAGTGCCCGGCTTCAGCACTGGAAATTTTTAAGAGAACTAAAACTATTCTGAAAGAGTAATTGTGAACATAGGACAATATATACTTGCCAAATCTCACAGATGTCTATAGCACTAAGAATGAATCTTAATGTGGTCACTTTAAATTATTTAGGAGATTGACAGATTCTCAGAAGGAGTATAGAATGTGACCAGAGAACCTAACTATGTTAAAAGTTACAAGACAATGTCACTGAAGGTAGTGGGAAAGAAAAGTGCTGATGCAGACAAGTGTGGAAGTGCATGGCCAATGAAAGGGCCCGTAGCACTTCACTGTGCTCCAACTGAAGCTGGGCCTCTAGGGGCATAGACTGATAGTCTGAATACTGCTAGACATGCGAATAAACCCTGATGGTAGGTGGGTGGTAAACTGTGGGAACCAGGTTTCTCTTTGGACTGGGAGTTTAAAGATAAACTGGGGTGAGGAAGAGAGCTAGAACAATCCATTTGATAATAGATCAGAGTTAGAAAAATCAGTATGAACTTAATTTTGTCTGACTGGTTTTTTTTTTTTTTGTCGATTATGGGGCTTGAACTCAGGGCTTGGACATTATCCTTGCGCTCTTCAGCTCAAGGTGAATGCTCTACTGCTTGAGCCACTGTGTCACATCCGGTTTTCTGGTGATTTATTGGAAATAAGAGTCTCAAGGACTTTCCTGCCCGGGCTGGCTTTGAACCGAGATCTTCAGATGTCAGCCTCCTAAGTAGTTAGGATTACAGGCATGAGCCACCAATGACCACTTGGGTGTTGTTTTTTATGATGCATTAGGGAAGCAACAAATATTAGACCTACATTGCCTGGACTGGAGGCAGGTAAGGAAATAGAATCATTGTGTGAGGGATTAAAGAGCATTTTTTTTTTTTGGCTGTGTGTGTGTGTGGGGTCTGGTTTGAACTTTGGGCCTGGATGCTATCCCTCAGGTCTTCAGCTCAAAGCAAGTGCTCTACCACTTAAGCCCCAGCGGCACTTCTGGTTTTCTGGTGGTTAATTGGAGCTAAGAATCTCATGGACTTTCCTGCCCAGGCTGGCTTTGAACTGTGATCCTCAGATCTCAGCCTCCTGAGTAGCTAGGATTGCAGGCATGAGCCACCAGCATCTGGCCTTAAGAGCATAATTTTAAGTAAGGCCTGTTTAACAAAGATTAGATCCTAGCAATTAGGATGGGATGGCTGGAAAGAGTGAGATGACCTAAGTGTGCCTGATGAATCTGGCCTAGTTGCCACACTTCTTGCTATCGTTCCTGCTCAGAGGGACACATAAGGACATACTCCAAAATTTAGCAGAACCTGTGACCCAAGTCCAATGGGGAATGGACCATGGGATAATAGTCAAAAATATTAGAGGGAAGAAATCAATCATGCCCCAAATAAAGAATTATCCATGTCATTTCAGAAAAAGTCAGGAAAAACAAATAATAGATTTAGAAGTATTGGATGAGGAACAAAAATGTGGATTTGGCTAGGTGCCAGTAGTTCATGCTTGTAATCATAGTTACTCAGGAGGCTGAGATCTGAGGATTCAAACCCAGCCTGGGTAGGAAAGTCCAGGAGACTCTTATCTCCAACTAAGCACAGAAAAAGTCAGAAGTGGCACTGGAGCTCAAGTGGTAGAGTGCTAGCCTCGAGCAAAAGGAGCCCAAGGACAGTGGCCAGGCCCAAAGTTCAAGCCCCAGGACTGACCAAAAAAAAAAAAGCACATATTTGGACCATCTAGAACTGGTTGCTATGGAAAGACTCAGCCTATAGAGGATGAAAATGCCAGTGGTGGCTTGGGTAGCTGCTTCTTACATGGGACTAGAGCTAGCCCATGCTGTTTAGCAAGAAGGCACAAGGAATAGCAGAGACTAAAAGAAAGGCTGCCACTTGGATTGTCCATAACTCCTGTTGCTGGGGAGGGTGCAGGCTAACATGGTCTCACAGAGCTGCCCTGAAACCCAACCAATGGCAGCACTCCCCAGGGTTCCAAGTGATTCTTTTCCTTACCACACATGCATCTTATTAAGAAGAAAACATTACTTAGGACAATATGTGGTTGCAATCTGTTCCCTGGGAGCCATAAAAACCATAGACGGCTTCCTCTTGGAAGGAGAAATGAGAAACAAATGAGAGTACTCTCATTTCTGAAAACCTTACAGTTTGATTCTAAATTTGGTGTTTCCAGCATCCTTTTCTTCCTTAGAATAATTTATAACCTCCTGGATCTGAAGGGAAATTAGAACTTGCTTAGTGCATTAAAAAAAGAGATGAGAAAAGGAAAGACTACAGAGAGATTTACTTTTTTTTGAGAGTGTGTGTGTGTCTGTGATGGTCTTGAAGCTTGAACTTTGGGCCTGGGCACTGTCCCTGAGCTTCTTTTGCTCAAGGCTAGCATTCTACCACTTAAGCCAGAGCTCAACTTCTGGCTCTTTCTGTGATTAATTGGAATTAAGAGTCTCATGGACTTTCCTGTCCTGGCTGGCTTCAAACCTTCATCCTCAAATCTCAGTCTCCTTAATAGCTAGAATTACAGGAGTGAGCCATGGGTGTCTGGGATTAAAGTTTCTAGTCTTAAACTTTCTTTTTAATTCTTAAAAGTTTTTAATTATACAGAAGAATATAACCACATCCTTATCACTCAGGCTTAATATTTTGTCATATTTGTTTAAGACTTTAAAAAATTACAGATACAGTTGGAAGTCCCCTTTCCCATCCAACCTGCTTTCTCCTAGAAGCAGACCCTAGCAACACTGATGAATACACAGGTTGATTTGGGAATGGTGGCAAGTAGAAGGAAGTGGTCAGGGAAGGGAAGGTAGCCACACTAGGAAGGAGTGATAGGCTGGGGTGTTAACTCCTTTGCCCTTTACTCTTCACACCTCCAGCCTCCATGGGATGGGTGTGCAGGTTGGGTTTTGGCTGACAACCTTTTGGCAAAGATATTGGATAGTGGACATAGGGTGGTACTCACAAAGATGGCATGAGGATAAAAAGGACATGGGTGGAATACTTAAAACACAGTATGTATTTATCGCTTGGTGTTGAAACTTATTATAGTAGGTATGCATTGTTAAATTTTATGACACTACACAGTATCATTAAAAATCATTAAATCATTAGCAATGATGATGGGAAATGGTGATTATACATAAAAGCCATTGAATATGAAAAGAGAAGTTTGGGAAAATTGCTTTAGTTCAAAGAATTGTCAAAATATTGAATTTATACCATGCATTTGATGGGTTTCCTTTTAACATAAAGAAAGGAATTGCATATCATAATTAACTTTTGTTGGTTCCACATTCCCTTAGACTGACAAAATGTGATTTGTTTTCTAGTTATAAGACAACAGGGTTGTTAGGCTTAAACTCTGACTGACATATTAAGATTACAACTGTTTGCTAAGAAAGCTACATGCAATCAAAAGTGTCTTAGAACATCATCTCTCCTTACCTACAATCTGTTGACCTGTAGATTGAAAGGAACACAGTTTGTAGTTGGGAGAAATGAGAGTAATGGGCACTGTAGTGAAAACAAATCCCAACTCCCTATTCAAAACAATTATTCATAGGTCCATACATCATTAATAAGAGATAGGAAACAGTTTTCCTTCTTTGTTCCTTACAAAGCAAAAGGATCCTAATGTCACAAAATAAAATGAATAAACACTATTCTTCTCAACCTCTTTTGCAGTGACAAAAATAATTTTAAGTAAACTAGTAACTAGTATTTTTCATATATCCTAGTATTAGATAATCACAATCTTTCTTCTTTAAGAAGTAGAAGGCAGAGAAAACTCAACTGGCAAATGAAATGATCTAGCTGTCTAGTAGAATCTTTCTGGAGAATCAGAATAGCCATTTAGCAGATACTACTACACAGGGAAAAAAAAATCTGAGTCAGATGTGGTAGTTTGTGCTTATATACCCAGCTTCTCAGGAGTCTGGCACAGGGAGATCACTTCAGTCTACAAGTTTAAGACCAATCTGGACAAAACAGAGGGACTCTGTATCCTCTTCTTCCTCCACCTCCTCCTCTTCCTCCTCAACAACTCATCATCTCATACTGAGATTCAAGGATATACGCATAAAATTTCACATTTCAAATAAAAAAAGAACACAAACTTTTGAAAACTCTGAACATATGATTAATGGTGTGGATTTAGACTGGAAATCTAACAAATAAATGTGTATAGAATACATTGGTGAAAAGAACCGAAAGCTGCATATATTTTATAATCTAAAAAAGCAATAATCTTTTCATAATATATTCCATTTCCTTTTAAATGCCAGTAAGTTCCATTTAAACACTTAATGAATGAAGATGAGACAGAATCCATAATATTCATACTTTAAAAAATGTTGTAATTAATCTATTGGAAACTTTGGATCTTCCCCAGGGAAAATCAAACATCTGTATAAAACACAATAAAATAAAAGCATAAAATGTCAGGAATGCTTAGGCTTCTTAAAACCCAGGTACAGATTCTTTTACTTCAAAAGAACTTACATTGTATAGAGGGATAGTCTTCATCACCTTATACTGCTTAGTGGGGTCCATTTTATACAGATGACGGTCAGTGACAAAAATTGCTCGGTCTTCTACCTTACTAAACCGATTTACCTGTAAGAAAACATGATAATAAGCCCCAGCAATTCAGCACAATGAAATCAAGTTATCTGTCTGGAAACACCTAGGGGAAGAGATGTCTGACTGTAGAGACTCTAATCTTCAATTAACAACCAAAAAGCTGAAGTGTAGCTGTGACTCAAGCGGCAGGTTGCTAGCCTTGAGCACAGGAGCTCAGGGACAGTGCCCAGGCCTTGAGTTCAAGCCCAGGATTGGCATACTGGTGTGTGGGCGTACACACACGTACACACACGTACACACATGCACGTACACACACACACACACACACACACACACACACACACACACAAAACATTGGGAGCAGCTATGGGTTTGTATTTGTATAGAGTGCTATGAGCGGGCAGGGAATGTTCTCTGTTTGTAGATAAACTTTTTCTATGAGACAAAATTAATCACAGGGCATTTTTGAAGCAAGTAGCTAGCTACTTGTTAATTAGGATGTTTCAACCATAGACTTAGGTACTATTTTAATCAATGTACCTATCAGTAAAAACTTTCAAACCACTGTCAAGAAGGAAAAAACAAGTCTCCACCTAGAGTTAGAAGAGACCTCTGATGTGTATATACATTTACACATAAATATGTATATATATGTTTATATATATGTATATACATACATACACAGTATATACATATACACATATATACATTCATATATATCATATATTTTATATAGTTATATATCAGATAATACATATATAAAAGAAAGGAATGACAGGGTGTGTGTGTTTGTGTGTATGTGTGCATATTTGTATATACACATATACCCCTGCCCTTTCTCCCTAGTTCTAACCCAAAGTGTAAAAAAGAAGTTAGGGCACTGGTGGCTCATGCCTGTAATCCTAGCTACTCAGGAGGCTGAGATCTGAGGATCGTGGTTCAAAGCCAGCCTGGGCAGGAAAAGTCCATGAGACTCTTATCTCCAATAAATCACCAGACAACTGGAAGTGGTGCTGTGGTTCAAATGGTAGAGCACTTGCTTTGAGCTGAAGAGCTGAGGGACAGCACCCCGGCCCAGAATTCAAGCCCCACGACCAACAACAACCACAAAAAAAGAAGCTAGAGATTAACTTGAAAACATTGTTATCTTCAGTAAGCTACTCAGATAAGTAAATTAGGACAGGCTGGATGAGATTTAACAGAATATATTGCTATAGGTAGGAGAAACTAAAATTCAAATTCTTTGTTCTGCAGTTTTAGAAGTCAGCCAATTCTCTACACATTTAGTTTATATCCAAAGCCTATTTTCCAAATCTTCAACCTGACAGAAAATGGTGTCAGTAATGAAGTATGAAACAGCCTGTGTGTCAGGGAATTACTGTTCTTGATGACTAGGTACACATAGCATCTCTTTGGCCACAGCAGAGGCCTGGTGCTTTTCAAAAGACGGGAAAAATGGTGTGTGAAAGAGCTTTCCTAAGCTGGGCACCGCTGAGATTTGAGGATCATGGTTCAAAGCCAACCGGGTCAGGAAAGTCTGTGAGACTCTTATCTCCAATTAACTACCAGAAAGTGGCACTGTGGCTCAAGTGGTGGAATGCTAGCCTTGAGCTGAAGAGCTGAAGGACAGTGCCCAAACCCAGAGTTCAAGCCCCATGACTGACAAGAAAAAAAAAGAGCTTCCCTAAATCATTTTGCACAGCATTAGCCTTCATAAAAGAAAAGTCAGGCGGTTCAGTTGGTTTGAGAGAGAAGGGGGGTGTATATGAGTATGTATACATTTGTGCATACAAGTCCTGGGACTTGAACACAGTGCCTGAGCTCTTTTGCTCAAGGTTATCACTCTACCACGCCAGACATAGCTCTACTTCCATTTTTTCGGTGGTTAATTAGGGAGACTGGCTTTAAACTGAGATAATCAGATCTCAGTCTCCTGAGTAGCTAGGATTGCAGCCATGAGCCACTAGTGCCTGGCTTTTCCTGAGCTTTTTTGCTCAAGGCTAGTATTCTATCACTTGAGACACAGCTCACCTTCTGGCTTTTCTGTGCTTAATTGGAGATAAGCATCTCATAGACTTTCTTGCCCTCCTGGCTCTTAAACAGCATGTTTAAACCTAGCTTTCTCAAACGTATTTAGTTTATGGAAACTTTTTCAACAGTTATTAATATTCAACAAAACACTGGTTCTGTGAAAGCCATGTTGTAGAATACTAACCACCATTTGCATCAATCTGAGAATAGAGAGCAGAGACCATTTAACAGAATCTGTGTACTAAGAAAAAGCAATGTGCCACATCTTTTATGGCAGCAAATTGAGAAATGCATGAATATGGTGCAAAAGAATGATTTCAAAACCCTATTGCAAAATTTCAAGGTCATTCTAGAGTCAAAATGGAATGCCCATATGTCTCTCTATGATATGAACATAAGCTAATCTATAAAGCAATGACAAAAATCTTTCAGGTATTAGAAATACAAACCTTCTCAGTGTTGGGAACAAGTTTAGAGAGTTAAAAAGTAGGCATATTAAATAATAGTATCTTAATACATTTTGGTAAGTTTGATAATATTCTTCACTTTTCTTAAATTTGCATTGAGATGGGATTTCATTCCAGTTCTGTTATTGTGTTCTTTTAGATATTGAAGCTGCCTTGTAGAAGTTTAGAAGCTGTGATTGTGGGTTGTCATTTAAATTGGGTAAGTTTTGAGAAAGCATTTTAATGCTATGTATTTGATTGATTTTAAAGGGTTGTATTGTAGCATGAAGAATACATTTACATAAAACGTAAATGAAAAAATCTTCAAAGTAGCAATCATATTGAAGCTTTGTTTAGAAATGTTATTTTATATACAGAAAATGCAATGTCTAAAGAGAACACAACACTAATCTTTACTTTCTGCTTCAGAAACTCAAAATCATCCTTAAAATGAATCAAATGAGTAGGAAAGATATCAGGTCTTAGGTTGTGGAACTTAGTTACATCAAAACAGCTAAGGAGCTGGATGCCAGTGCTCATGCTTGTAATCCTAGCTACTCAGGAGGCTGAGATATGAGGACTGTAGTTTCAATCTAGTCTGGACAGGGAAGTCTGTGAGACTCTTATCTCCAATTAACCACCAAAAAGCTGGAAGTGCAGCTATGGCTCAAGTGGTAAGAATGCTATCCTTAAACAAAAAAGCTCAGTGCCCAGACCATGAGTTCATGGCCTAAGACTGTCACAAAAGCAAAACAAATTAAACAAAAAAAAAAGAAGGAAAAAAGTCCGATAGACATATGTAAACCCCACATTTGAGTATGACACAGAACACCATCTCTCATTTAAATTCATAAAGTAATAGAAAAACTGGACTATGTATTCAGTATTAGATAACATCTCATCTTGTTTCTTCTACCCAAAGCTAAAACCCTCAACAAGAAAAAATTCTTACCATTCTGTATTTTCTCTAAATACTTCAAATGATCTGTTTATAGGTTTAGTCAGAGCCACAGGGGGTCAGAGACAAAGCTTCCCCAGAAAGTCAGACAGAGAAAACACAGTGTGGGTGAGAGGAGCTATTTGCAGAAGTCTCTCACCTTAAAGAACACTTTTTAACTGTGGTTAATGGAAAGTGGCCGTTTTAAAAAGAATCAAAGCATAAAGAACAGGGCTCTGTGAAAGTGCATTAAGTTGGCCTGTGTATCTTTGGTATTAAAAGATTCTCAAGAGGATATTATCTAAGCTATAGTGGGAAGAAAGAGTATTTTGCATTCAACTTTGAACCACAGGAGCATGAAATTTTCAGTTTTTATCCATAGGAACCCAGGATAAAATGGTCAGATATAAATTAAGTCTCAGTGAATAAGAGATACCAGGATTTTCTGTGTTTGATGACCTAATTCTTAAAACCATGCAACCCTCTTTAATTGTTCTGATTAGTAATTTGACTTTCCAGTTATCTAGATACCAGAAAAGAGGTGGCTAAGGATTGAGGTTTGAAACCAGCTTGGTCAGCAAAGTCTGAGAGATTACCTCCGTATAACCAGAAAAAAAGCTGGAATACCAGATACTGGATACTAGGCATAGGACTTACAAAAATGGCACACTGCTTTGTTATGTTTACAACCATACTGCATAAGCAATGTGCCTTATACTTTTTTTGTGTGGATGGGTAAATGGGATTAGCAAAAGCCTTTTTTTTTTGATTGATTGATTAGCTCTAGGTACAGGTGATAAAATACAGTTTCTGGATCTCAAAGTGCAGGACTAGACTATGGAGTGTAGTAACTGACTGGTAGCAGCTAGTAGTAGTGATGGGGAAATGCAAAGGAAAATTAAAATGGAGGATGAGATCACAAGTTTCAGAAAAAATATTGTAACTGAATTTCCTGACTCACTGGTGATCAACCACAGCATTATAGACTGGGCCTAGGGTAATAACTTCTCATAGGCAATGTCAATAAGTACTCAGACCTGTTGTTCTCACCCTAGAGACAACCTACTTTCAGTCTGTTTTAACAAGTACTCGAACTGTTTTTGCGTAGCATCTCTGCCTCCACTTTGTGTCACCTCCAGGTTAGTAACATTGAAGTATGCTAAACCATAATGCATGTTTTAAAAGCATTAAATGATGGGCTTGGAATGTGGCTTATTGGTAGAGTGCTTGCCTAGCATGCATGAGGCCCTGGGTTCAATTCCTCAGTACCATATAAATAGAAAAAGCCGGAAGTGGTGCTGTGGCTCAAGTGGTAGAGTGCTAGCCTTGAGCAAATGAAGCTCAGGGACAGTGCCCAGGCCTGAGTTCAAGCCCTAGAACTGGCCAAAAAAAGAAAAAAAAAAGCACTAAATGAACGTAAATACAGAGAAGATCTACAGGTACTACAAAAGACACACAGCAGTTAGATAGAAGTACTGGACTTCAAGGATGTCCTCCTAACTTGTTTTGAAAGAAATAGTTATGAGTTAATTACTCAAGCCCCAGGACTGACCTTAGAAAGGCTAACTTATAAAAAAATAAATACCAGGAATCAGGTACTCCAAAATGGAGGTGGAAAATGGAGGAGGGGGCGAAAATAGAGTCATAAAATTCAATGCATATCCAACAAGATTGAGAAAATTAAGGAAAGGGTTAGGTTGGGAGGGATGAGAGAGAGTGATGAAAGGGAGGGTATTGATCAATATTCCTTTTTCCCATATACTACTTTGTTGAATGGTAACTCCTTTGCACAACTACTTAAAGGTAAAAATAAAATTAAAACAAAACAAAACAACAACAAAACATTTACTTCCTCAGGAAGTCATTACAGCCTAGCTGGAAAACTAGTCTTGTCAGCCATCTAGCACTAACACTATTCAGCATGGAAAAGTGTGGCTTACTTATGGGGTAGTGTGTTATATACCACTCTCATGTTTTACTGCAGGTCTAAGTAAGTGGGTTTCATCTGAATCAGTTCTTTTTTTTTTTAAACCCCCGCACCCCCACCCCCAAGTGTCTGTTTCAAGCTTGCCTTACCTTACGGACATGACAGGAAAAGAGGACATTCATGTATTTGTCTTTCCTTTTCAGTTCATTAGCTACTGGGACAAAAGTGCCTGAGGTCTGAGGTGTATCTGGCTTCTGAAAGAGAAAGGAAAGAATGAAATGAGAATGCTCAGCATTTCAGGTGCAGAGGCAACCTTTCAGAATTCTGCTTTAGAACTTCACTTATATATTTCAGATGCATACTTTTATCTCTTTACCCCAGATGTCAGGCTGCTAAAGAGTTGTAACATCAAAGACTTATACAATTTAAAATTATGAAATGGGAGAGAGGGTGGAATGGATCTTTGGGAATAATAAAAGGAGGTAATTAAAAATAGTTGCTGAATAATGCGAGGGAAGGTTTAAATGGCCTAAGGCCAGGTTACAGAGTTGCTTAATACATGTGGTATTATGTAGCTTTTTTCAGAAAGTGTTTTTTTTTTTTTTTTGTAAATTCTGGAGAAAAAAAATTCCTTTCTTCGTAAAAGGAGTAGTAGATTACACATTGGACTTACTGAAGCAAGGTAGTTGCCCTCCCAGGCCCTTTGGAGTCCAAGGTCAGCCCTTTGACCTTTCAACATTTCCATGGCTGCTACCTTTGCCCTGACCTGCGGCAGGTCTGAAGCAGGTATGCTCTTGATGAGCTTGGCTGCTCTCCACCTGTAAGCAAATAAACAAAAGGTACAGGCTTTAGAAAGATGATCCCATTTATTCTTGAATTTAAATAAAATGAAACCAAAGTAATTGCACACTATGCTAAAAAAAAAAAAAAAGGTCAAATGCCTACAAAATGTACACAGAAGTTATTGCAATAGGTTTTTTTTTTTTTTTTGTGGGGCTTGAACTCTGGGCCTGGGCGTTGTCCCTCAGCTCTTCAGCTCCAGGCTGGCTACCACTTGAGCCACAGTGCCACTTCTGGTTTTCTGTGAGATAAGAGTCTCACGAACTTTCCTGCCCAGGCTGGCTTTGAACAACAGTCCTCAGATCTCAGCCTCCTGAATAGCTAGGATTACAGGTGTGAGCCACCAGTGCCTGGCTACAATAGTTTTATGCAAATATTTTGTAATACCTGTTTTGTTATTTGTGTGTTTTGAAAGCAATGAGACACTAGTGATACATAGCTCTTGTAATACAAATTGAGCATTCCTAATCCAAAAACCCCAAACTCCTTGAGCACAGTTCAACTGAAAAGTCTATGTCAATATTTCAAAATTCTGAAGCACTTTGTATAAAGAATATGCAAACCTGAGTTTAAGGGCACAGAAATAATAGATTCATCATCCATTCAGGTGTGTCCTAGGATAAGGCCTATACCTGACTGATTCCAGAGTGGGGGCCCCCCCATAACAGAGGCACACTGGGAAATTAAGTACCAGAGAGAGCTGCTGGTGCTCCTCAACCTTATCACTCCTTCTACCAACTTTAACACTGTGCCTCTAAGAACAGCTGCAGCCATAAAGAAGACCAACAGCTTCAATGAAATGAGGAGGGACAACACTGAAGCAGGCTCAATTACAAAGGAATTACTGTGAGGAAGAGGAACAATCCTAAAACACAGTTAGATATATACAGAGGTTCCAGAAAAACAAAAAATATTCACAGTTAACAGTAGAATCCTTTAACACACTTCTCTTGGTGTTACTCTGATTGAAAAAAAATCAAGTTTAGGAGAAAATTATAGCTTGTGCCAAGTCTTCCATTTGCAAACCAAAATCAAACCAAAACAAGAATATGTGAGACCATATATATCTAGTAGAGCCTAAAACATTGACTACTAGCCTTTTACAGGAAAAGCTTGCCAACTCTTGACCAGATGAATACATATATTATTCAACTCTGATCCCTGAGGAAGCTGGGGCTACCTTTCCCATCCTTTCCTGTCTGTTACCATATCCTTGGGAGCCAACTAATACATTCAACATAGCAGTCATTCAGTAAATATTTTTTGAATGAGCAAATTGAATTTTACACAATATACCAATTGAACAATTCTAGGCCACAAATGAATCTCAAAACTTAAAAAGAAGCCTATTCACCCAGAAGTGGTGGCTAACGCATGTAATTCTAACTACTTGGGAGGTAGAGATCAGGGGATTGTAGTTTAAAGCCAGCCTGGGCAAAAAAGTTTTGAGGTATGTTTCAACCAATGGCTGAGCCCCATGGTCTGAGCCTATTATCCCTGCTACTAGGAAAGCACAATGGCTGGACAAAGTGGAATGTGCTTGTCCTCCCCAGTGACATGGTGAGGCACATGGAGGAGGACTGCAGCCAGACTGGCCCAGGCATAAAGCAAGACCTTGTCTGAAGAATAGTCAGTGCAAAAAGGGTTTGAAAGCATAGCTTAAATGGTAGAGCTCCTGCCTGGCACATTTAAGGCCTTCGATTCAATCCCTATAACTACTAAAAAAGTACAAATAAATAATAAAAAAGACTATTTGGGCTAAAGTACAGAATAAAACAAATTAGTCTTCTGTAGCCATTAAAAATATGCACTATGGACTTGTCCCTATGACTTAAAAATTGTTTTTATTACTTTAGTTGTGCAAAGGCGTTATCATTCAGCAAGTCAGTTTATAAGTACAATGCATCTGGATTGATATCACCCCTTTCATCATCCCCCCGCCCCCCACCTAGCCCAACCCAACCCCTCCCTATCCGTGTGTGTGTGTGTGTGTGTGTGTGTGTGTGTGTGAGAGAGAGAGAGAGAGAGAGAGAGAGAAGAGGGGGGGAGGGAGGGAAAAAGGGAGGGAGGGAGGAGAGAAGGGAGGGGCTTGAACTCCTTGATTTTTTGGCATGACTTATTTTTAAGTAAAGCCAAAAGTGAGGGGGAAAAAAGCCCACATGGTATGTGGCTGTGTATATACCCTGCCCATAGTGCAGCCTGTATCTAGCACTATGTGAAATGAAATGAAATTTACTCATACTCATTTCAGCAATCCATGAGACAGATGCTTACTTGATCCTTTACAGGGAAGGAAACTGAGGCGCCAAGAAATCTGCCATATAATTACATAGCTAGGCCAGTGGCAAAGCCAGACTATGAACCCAGCCTCCAGGACCTGTGTTTTTGACCATTCTACCATGCTTCTTATGCAAAAGGTTTCTCGGGGAAGACAGAGCAGTATGGAGAGTTTCAACTTTATATTCTACAGATCTCACTTAAAAAATCAGTGAGCATGCATTTAAATAATTTAAATTATGTAACAATGTACATTGCCAATACCATTCATGAAAAAACTTTCAGCTGCACATAAAAAGCTTGCCAAGACTGAAAACGAACACTTATGGTATTGTATCTGCAAATGGAGAGTTGAGATACTTCTGCTTTCAGTAGTTCTATATTAGCCTTTTGTTGTTGTTATTGTTGGTTGTGGGGCTTGATCAAGGCCTGGGTGCTGTCCCTGAGCTCTTCAGATCAAGGCTAACACTTTACCACTTTGAGCCACAGTTCCACTACTGGTTTTTGAGTGGTTCATTGGAAATACAAGTCTCATGGGGACTCTTCTGCCTGGGCTGGCTTTGAAATGTGATCCTATTAGATCTCAGCCTCCTGAGTAGCCACTAGTGCCCAGCTGATCTTCTTTTTATGAGGAATCATTTCTTATTTTTTATTTACCTTTTACCATGTATATGAGACCAAAACCTAACGAGGGTAACATCTAATTTAGCACAGAAATACAAATTTATTATTATTATTATTATTTTGTCGGTTGTGGGGCCTGAACTCTGGGCCCCTCAGCTCTTCAGCTCAAGGCTAGCACTCTGCCACTTGAGCCACAATACCACTTCCGGCTTTTTCTGCTTATGTGGTGCTGAGGAATCGAACCCAGGGAACTCATGCATGCAAGGTAAGCATTCTACCACTGAACCACCTTCCTAGCCCCAAATTAATTGTTTTATATTCAAGATATATTAGTTTTTTTTTTTTAAAGATAGGGTCTCATTGTGTAGCCAGGCTGGCCTGAACTCTTGATCTTCTTGCCTCAGCATCCTGTGTGCTGCAATTACAGGTGTATACCACTATGTTTCCAAGTGTTCTTTAAAAAAAAAAAAATATATATATATATATATATATATATATATATACTGAATAACTTTTTTTCCCCCTGGGATTTGAACTCAGGGACTGTCCTCATAGCCAACATCCTGGTGCGGGAATTATAATTTCTTATGTCAAGTGTGTTGCCAAAAATGAATATGACACTTACCAACAAGTTCTTACCTACTAAAAATTGCCTGGAGGGCCTCCTCAAAGCGGCGCAGAACTTTTGGAGGAGTTGGCCACTTCACATGCTTCCCGTAGTCTCTCATGGTCTGGACCCCCTGGAAACGCCTGGCCACCTCATGGATGTATGACTTCACTTTGTAGCGCCGGTAGTGCCTGATTATTGTCAGAGCTGCCTTGGTCCTCTTGTATCGCATGCGAGCCAGGGTACCCCGCCATACCTTCACAACAGAAAAAGACAAAGGAAAATGTTTACAGATCTAGAAGCTCCTGTGTAACCAACAGGACCAGCCAGAGCCAAAGTGTGCTGATTCTCCCTGCCACCAACAGAGGGTGCTGGGATTCATGACTGTGCCTGCTCCTCTTCCAAGTGTCTAGTTGCTTGTTATCCTGGGAGTGCATGCTGGTTTTGATGTAGGGTCTTATAGTAACTTGTCACAAAATTGAGAGAGCCCACAATGTAAGTATTTGCAGGTAAAGATTTCAGGAAAGCTGAAGAAAAGCAAGAAGAGTCAGAGCCAAATGCCATTAAGCACTTCACATTCCTTGGTGAAACCTTGCTTATGCAGATTTGCCAGACTAGCCACTAGTATGTTACTTTGAATTTGCAAACTGATTCATGTACAACCTGTGGACCACTTCTCTGTAGTGGCAATATACATGGCCCAAGAATTTAGAGGTATTCCTGGGAAAAGTGCCAAACAGATTATCAATATCAGACGAATAGATTGTTAAGATTTTCAGGGCTGAGAAATAGATAAGACAACATATAAAAGTCTCAATTTAAGCTTCAAATCAAGATACATACCTCTGTGTGTGTGTGTGTGTGTGTGTGTGTGTGTATGTGTATAAAATCTGATGTGACCTTTAGTTCATCCACATTTCCAATATGAGTCCTTTCTGATGCACAGTCTCTGTGACCCCAAACTACTCTGATTGATAAACAGCACCTTCATTATGTTCCAGCCTCTAGTTATTGCTGTGCTTAAATATCCATGTCATTTCTCAACTTGGTTGTTGTATTCTCTTCCTCCCTTGTCTCTGACCTGAAAGAGCCAAGATTTCTACCCTCTAATTCAAAGCCCACAGTATGAGTTCTGCAGATGCCATAGGGCTTTCTATATTTCTCCTTAAATCCCCATCTGTGCATATCAGTTTCCTTTGAGGAACTTGTGAACTGCTTCTTTTGTTCAGTTGCTTGGGGTTAGTCTTCTTCAGCACCTCAGGACCTCTCCCCATAAGCACCTCATGTGCTTGCCATGTTTGTCCTTCCAGCCTGTGACACAGTGCCCACAGGTTTGCAAATGACATGGGGAGAGGTCCCCAAGGGAGCCCCTCCAAGAAAAACTGTAACACAGAAGGGAGACATGGCATACAAGTAATTTGTGATGGGCATTCAGAGCTGATGTATAAACAGGGCACTCAAAAAGACAGTGAGTACTACAGAAACGATTCCTTGCCTCAGGTGGCATCAGCACTGCAGCCTTTTGGTCACAGTGGCTCTTCTCTGTATCTGAATGTACAGCTAGTTGGGCTATGCACCCACCCAAGGGCTAAAATAAAGGCCCCCTTTTCAGTATCTTGAAAAACAGGAAGAATACAATAGGAGGGTAAATTTATGGTTGTGGCTCACTTATGGTTTGGGGCTAAATTCTTTTTTTCCCCCCGCTGAACTCAGGGGCTTGAACTCAGCTTTCTTGCTCAAAGCTGGTGCTCTACCACATAAGCCATGCCTCTAGCCTGGCTTTTTTGCTAGTAGAGATAGTGTCTCATGGACATTTTTGCTTTTGAAATGTAATTTTCTAGGTCTTAGTCTCCTGAGTAACTAGCTAGGATGATAGGTGTGAGCCACTGCTGCCTCACTTGGATAAAATCTTCTACTGATTCCACAAAACATTTTTTAAGTGCTTTTCAAGGATGGTCTTTAACATTTCTTCTGTGTTGTTGGTTTATTTAGGTTTTGTGTTGTTGAAAAAAAAATCAAATAGTACAAAGGTACTCGTAATCAGACAGTACTCTTCATTCACCCATTTAACCCCACCTCATCCCTCCCAGTCTCATTCTGTACAAGCTATTTTAGATGTATCTTCTGGTATTTACTGTCATATTTATAAGTAATGCACATGTACTGTTATTTCCTGGTTGAAACTTTAGAAAACCACCAAAATTACAGAAAGTGGAGACTCATCTTTCTTACTGTCATTTTAACTTCTATCATCCTAATAATCACATAGGAAAGTTTAAGTTGTTGGGCACAGATGGCTCATGCTTATATTGCATAAATAGGAAATTTTCAGTCCAGGAAGGCCCAGGTAAAAAATGAGAAAAATTGTGTAGCCAGTTTGGCCACACAATGAAACCCTGTTTCATCATCATTCCAAAAAAGTCAATACTATAGACATTACTACATATATGAGTGGTAATATATATTGGATTTGTATATATTATTCTATACATGTATATATCACATGTATATACTATATTGCTTTTATTATACTTATATATTATGTATTAGATGTACATATATTATATTACAATACATTATATGTACATTTTATATTATGTATTACATATACTTTTATATTTATATTATATGTCTTATTTATTATATGTACATTTGGCTCATCATATACTAAGTAGGACTGGTATTCATTTATCATGTACATGCTTACTTATATTCAAATACAACAGTAAAGGTAAAAAAAAACTGCTTTATTTTAGACTATCTCATGCTAATTTTTGCCAAATTTTAGATTCAGTCTAACCCCAGATTCTTTAGTGAATGTGAACCATTCTTTCTCAGCCTACCATCTGCCCCCAAAAAGTGCTAGACTGGGCCTAACTTTATTTTTCCATCTATAAGATGGACTGATGAGCCATAGTTTGAATGTTGTATCTAGTCTTCCAGCTGCCCAAGAGGAAAGTAAAGGAGCTGGGACTTTGTGTCATTGCTGCTAGGTTTTACCTTAATTCTAATGATGGAAATAATTCATTGAGTCTGGGAGTACTTTTTGTTTTGGCTTGGTATTCTTTATTCACATCAGGTGGACCTTTTCTTTTCTCTTTTTTGCTAGTCCTGGGGCTTGAACTTTGGGTGCTGTCCCTGAGCTCCTTTTGCTCAAGTCTAGAACTCTACCACTGTGAGCCATAGCACCACTTCTGGCTTTTTCTGTGATTAATTGGAGGTAAGAGTTTCACAGACTTTTTTTTTTTTTTGCCTGGGCTGGCTTTGAACTGTGATCCTCAGATCTTAGCCTCCTGCATACAGGTTGAACCACCAGTGCCCGGCCGATCTTTTCTTTAGGTCTGAGACCTAACTCCAACTCAGTGCCTGACATTTACACTCAGTGGCTAGCACTCTACCAACTGAACAACTCCTCCAACCCCTAATGGTGGACCTTTTCATGGCACAGATGCATTTGTTAGCAAATGCTTACATTACTTCTTGCTCATTTGTAGATATATCAGAGGCAGGGGATATGGTAAACCTTGCTCATCCTTCTTGCCTAGGGATGAAGTTGTCTTGATGGAAGAAAAGTTCCTCAGCAAAGCAGTGGGTGTTGTGAGCTTTCCTCTGGATACTGCTATACTAAATGCTAACCCTTCAAAAGCAGTAAGTCTTTTCAGAATTCCTTCCTTGAACTTTCCCATGTTCCATTTTTTTCTTCGAATATATTGAATTTTCAGTATTGTTTGGCAATTTAGTGCAATTTTCCATTTTCTAGATAACCCTTTTCAAAAGTTATAGCATGAAATTGAACCTTTGCTTGGTTTCAGAGTAGATAGCATGTTCTTTGTTGTTGAACGTTTGATATCTTTTACTCTCACTCCAAAGTTTTAGGAAATCAATTCCATGATTCTGCAGTTATATCACCAACTTTATTGAAATCTCTCATGCTTCATTTATTTTTTAACATCAGAGAAAAAACCAGCATCAAAAAACTACAGAGAAAAATGGGAAAAAGATGCGTTGTGTATTTTTCCTTATAAGAGATTGAAAGGAAAATAGATTATATTCCTATGAAAGACTGTGTGCCTGTGTGAGGGAAGGGTTCTGCTGATTATCCCACCAAGGGTCTTGATGGGACTTGAAGGAGAATGACAGTTTTCCAATTTCCTCTTTGTTCAAAACTGCTTAAACTTTTTTTGTTTTTTGTTCAAGAGCTGTACAAAGCTTAGCTCTTCAGAGGACTTTGGCTGATAAAAGAACTCTAGAAAGTAGTAAAGGTCCCATTCCATAAACAAATACTTAATACTTATTTGCACATGACTGAGGGGCTCATTAAACACCAAGGGATTCCAAAGGAGCCCTTGTTAAAATTGTGTTAATACTGGATATGGAGTCAGCTGGGTACGATGTGCCTTGGGACTGATACAGGAGGCTAGAGGACATGTCCTAGTAAAGCTGAGCTCAGGACATAGTAGAGAGCAGACCAATGTAAGAAAGGCCAGGAGCCTTTTCTCAGGCAGAACAAAGGATGCAAATGGCTCAGATGGAATAACCAAGGTAGAAACGAGCACTGAAGAACACTGAACACCTTCCTAACTTGAGTGCCAACACAGGACCTTGCCCTTGCTCAGTTTGTTTGCTTGACTGGTGCTCTACCACTGGAATAAAGCCTCTAGTAATGCCACTAGTTTACTTTCTTCAGAGAGTAAACTGTGCCATCTGTCAGAATGAGACTCGGTAGTCATTCAGCTGTGTGAGATCTTAGAGGAAACCTGGAAGTTTAGTCCTTTTTATACGGATTTTTAATTTACTTCTTCCTTCGGCTGTGCTCCGTACGCCCTCTACAGAAGCTCCTGGTCTTCTCTTGCCTGAATCTTCATAGTCCTGTTGTTGGCTGAACTGGCTTGCCTCTCTGTCTTGTGCTTTGATGTCAGGTACTGCCTCCAGCTGCTTGGGGGAGCTGGCACTGTTCACTTCCAGAAATACATTAATGCCTCCTGTCCACTGTGGTGTGCACTACACTTCTGCTTGTCCTTGTGGCTTTCCCCAATTTTTGTTCCTTTACTGCTCTTTTGGGGGTGTTGAGAATGGATATAAACATGACTGTCAGGTTTAGCCAGATGTTTTATGCCATCTTAATTCTGCCGTATTTTTTTCTTTTGGTATATATTTCCTCAGTGGTCAGGAGTTTCAAAGCACCATCTGGCAGTCATTACTGATTCACTGTGAATCTTCGGTTTAGTTTCAGAATCAAACACAGGCTGGCTTTCC